AAAGAATACATAATAGAAGAAATGCTCTTCCTTTGCTATCTTCCTTTAAGATATTGACACAAAACCGGGCATAGAGTCAAGATCAATATCAGGATCTGGATATTAATGGATGATTTGAGAAGAATGAGTCACATTCACTAGTAGACGGACCCTGATGTTGTTTCCTTACCTTAGCTATTGTGAATACTTCTCTGATGAATGCGGACAAGCAGATGTTTCTTTGACACACTGATTTCATTTCCTGTGTATATGTATCTAGTAGTGGGGTTGCTAGATTCTACAGTAATTCTACTTTTCTTACATTTTGAGGCTTTCATACCATTATCCACAGTGGCTGCCTAATTTACGTTCTCCCTAGTAGTGTGCACGTACGTGGTCCCCTTTCTCCAAGTCTTCACCAACATTTATTAAATTTAGTCTTCTTGACAACATCCCTTCTTAATACAGTAAGGTAATACATCATTGTGGCTTTGATTTACACTTTCCAGATGATTAATAATGTTCAGACTTTTTTCATGTGTCTGTGGGCAATTTGTGTATCAGAAGAAATTTAGAAATGTCTGCTTTGGAGGTAGCGTTCAGTGGTAGAGCATTCAACTGAAGAAATGTCTGGTTTGCTCTATCGCCCACTTTTAATCAGGCCGTTTCGTTTGTTTGGGATATTTTACTGTTGAATATGCAAAATGCCTTATATATGCTGTATGTCAACGCCTCTCCTATTTTTAGCTCACAAACATTCTCCTGTTCCATGGTTTGTCTCCTAACTCTATTGTTTTCTTGTCCATGCAGAGCTTTTTAAAAATGACTGAATCCTATGTGTAGCATCCGTTAACTGAGTGTATAAGGGAATTTTGGCACATACAACACAATGAAGTAATATTCAGCCATAAAATGAAGGCAATTCTATCATTTGCAACAAGATGGATGGAACTGGAGATACTTATGTTGAGTGAATTAAACCATGCACAGAAGGAAAAGTAGCACAGGAAAGGAAGGGAGTGAAAGAGAAGTTGATCATTGAGTACCAAGCTATAGTTAGGACTAAAAAGTCCTGCTGTGCTATTGCACAGTAAGTATGTATAGTTGAAAACTATGTACTGAACACTTCAAAAAGCTAAAAGAAAGGATTTTGAATGTTTTTATCATATAGAATACCTAGTTGAAGAGATTGTATGTTTAACTTATATTCCATTGAAACATCATACGGTACCTCATTAATGTGTGTAATTTGTTGCGGTCATTATTGTTTTTTGAGACAGGATCCCGCTATGTAGTTCAGCTTGGCTTTGAATTCATTATGTAGCCCAAGCTGGCCTCCGACTCTCACCAATCCTTTCTTCAGTCTCCCAAGCAGTCCTCGGATTTTAGGTACGTTCCATCACACCCAGCATATAAGTTTTATATTTTTATGAATTCGTTAAAATAAATTTTAAAAGGGTAAGTTACATTTTGGGTTTCTTAATTTAAGGTAATTTACTGATATCCGAATTTGCAAATATTTGCTTTCTTTTATTGTTCTTTTTATAAGTGTAATGATAGAGAGTAAGTTATTTTATGTCTGAGGAGGATTGAAAAAGAAAGAAGAGATGATATGAGTTTCATAAACTGCTGGTTCAAATTACAAGCTAAATTGCAGCAAACGCTGCAAAACAATTTGGTCACGATATGGAGAATTCATTTTACTCCCTCAGCTTCCCTTGCTCTAGAAAAGCATATTACAATGTTACCCTGTTGAATTACATCCAGGGATTAAATGAATCAATAAATCTTTCAGACTGCCTTCAATTTTCCCATGAATTAGTTAAACAATTTATACTTCAAAGTATGTGCTTCCTAGCTTTGAAAGAACTGTTTAATATTTTAATGTGAATCTTTACCAAAAAATCCTCTCCATGGAAAAAAAAAGACAAACATTGTAATAAAAATGTTTGCTTGTTTTATACATTGTTTAGATTACAAGATGACAAAGGAGTTTTGTTCTTCACCGTCTTGGACCCTCCTTCCTCACTAAATGCTCTGGCAAGAGGGTGATGGGTGTAACTTATTACTTGAGTCCTGGCCCACCATGAAGAGGCCCTGGTTTGATCCTCAGCAGGACAAAAAGAAAAAAAAATTCTCTGGCAGCGATAATCCCGAAAACAACATTACAACATGAGCCACTTATTGGATAATACTTAACATTTTTCATCCCAAAATGCATTGCATTTTTTCTTTATTACAATACTTTAGGCTTCTTGTTCAAATCAGACTAAATGAATAACCTTGACTTTATTATGAGTAAAGTTGCTCATTCCTTTTCCCTTGCTTTCTTTCTAGTTTTCTTCCATCTTGTACTCAGTTAACCAGGATATAACACAGAAAATGCACTGAGTTGCACTGAGGCAGGGCTCTCCTTGCGTCATGAGATCTCTAAAACTGACAGTGATTTTTTTTCATATAAAGATGTCCAAGCTTTGAAAACCTGGCCAAGATCTTATTGTGCCCAAAAGTTAGATAGTTGTTAAAAGGCTGAATAAAGCTATTTGGGTTTTTTTAAAAAAAGATAAAGGGATTTCTCAACATTTTAAGAAATTTTCTGCCTTAAAATATATATCATTAAAATTGTGTCATATATTTAAATATTCATGTCTGAATTACTCAAAGTACCTTGTTTGAGACATCGTTGTTCATTGGAACTTATCTGAATGAAATATGGTTTCAAAATACAAATTGTCATTACAGTCTTAGCTGTATCCTTAGTCAGTTAGGCCTACGAGTACCAGAGAAATGATGTACATTTTGAGCACATAGAAATGAAATATAACATACAGAAAAATTTACTTTGGCATCTATAAACAAAGCAAACTATTAGCAACAACAAAAACTATATTCTGAGAAATGCACCCCCCAGGTCAATGAATACGATGTCCTATGACCACATTTCTGTTTACTTTTGAACAATAGGTTTGTGCCCTTTACATGATAAACAACTAGAAAACTGGCCCATGGCCTACATCAAAGTCAAGCTTTATGAACTATTTGTCATGGAAACAAAGTGAAACTATATTTAAAGAAAAATAAAACTTCTGTAAACAGACCAATTCCTCCTCAAAAGTAATAACCCTCCAGTTTTTGATATTACATTCCTGAGAGTAATAATAATAAGTCCTTCCAACCTTGTTCTCAGAGGTAAAGTGAAATTTAACTTGTATAAAATTCCTTGAAAAATAGGCCATTGCACTGTAGTGATATCAAAAATGTATTGCACTAGCTTATCCATCAAACATTGACTCTTTCTTAAGATTTTTTTCAGCCATATTACCTTATTGCCCAAGTCCATAACACAGGTTATCTCTAGATACTTCTAAAAGTTTCTGTGGAAGTTTATAGTAATCCAATCTTACCATACAGAATATACAATTAAAAAAGGAATAGTCACCACCACTAGAGTATGAGATTCACAAGATCAGGGACCCTAATAATCTTCATCTCTCCTGTAATTGTTCAGAAATTGACTTATGGTTGTCACTCAGTCTATATATACTGAAAGAATGAATGAATTAATTAATTAATCCTGCGTAATTATGAAAGGTGAAATTTTGAAATCTGTTCAACATACTTTCTATTATGTTTTATGGCTAGGCATCACATGTCATCATCGAAGAAATTAAGTGTTTTCAGTTGTTACTATCGAGCATGTTTTATGTTTATTTACCTTCCTCTACGTAGTTTATTTGAACTGGAAAAGATAATGGCAGATGTTCTCTGCAAAGTATTGTTAGAAGGGTTCTGAAAGAAATGTCTTAATACTTTATTGGACTTCTTCCATAGGGATACGCACATGGCAGAATCATCAGATGAGGGTTTCTTTTCTCTCTCTGTCTTTCTCTCTCTCTCTCTCTCTCTCTCTCTCTCTCTCTCTCTCTCTCT